TCAATTTCTAATTATACTTCTACATAAGAAATTTCTGCAATTTGATTGGCTTAGAGCAGTGATATTTCACCTTAAAAAACTTTTGCGAGTAGAAGTATAAACAAATAATAGCATGATTTGTTCGTGATCTTTGGCATGATTACCACTCGTGATATCAAAATTGTCTCTAATTTCATTCGCCTAACGGCTCGTGAAATTACGTATAACAATTTTGAAATATCATTCCTGGTGTTTATGCCAAATATCACTACAAATCATGCTATTACCTATACTAATTTGCGTCAACGACGATTATAGAAACGGCAACTCAACGCGATTTGTACCACGTGACCAAGTTTCTCCTTTACTTGTCGTTTACTGTTCATTATTTCTACACATATAAATTAGTAGTTTCACGCGATTTTTCATCCATAAGAATTGTTTTGAATTGTTTTTATCTGCTCATTTTCTATTTTGAGAAATTCTCAACTTGAATCTGACGTTTCCCATTTGCCGTATACGCGAAGCTTAAACTCACGAATCGCCGGCTAGCGATCAAGGCTAGCCTTAATTTAAATAAAAGAATAATTCTAATTGTTTTACATTTTCTATTCTGACTCACTGCGTTTATAGCATAGCAAATGTCTTACTTACCAAAATGTTGGCGCCTATAACAAAGCCAATATGGCATCCATCTGTACTAATACTAGTGATTAAATAAATTCGAAGGACCGTGTAGACAACGCTTGTTTGCGCGTTAGCTAGGGAACGATTTGGTATATGGGGTAGAGTGGATTTGGCACATTGGTGCGTAGTTCAGGCGCACTACCCCTTTCCCCCTATCATAACTAGTGGCCTGACTACGCCAGGCGAGAAGGGCAAATGCCGCCAGCCGTTTGTACGTGAAAACGATTCTTCTCACAATATCCCATTTATTGAATAAATGACGAATGACACCGTATATATTGATGCATTTGTCTCCAATATTGTAGCGATTCTGAATCTCATAACACAGATAAAATTAATTCCTATTAAACTAACTTGATTCTAAAAATTAACTGCAACGAAGGCGCCGTAGCTCAGTTGGTTAGAGCGCCTGTCTAGTAAACAGGAGGTCATGGGTTCGAGTCCCATCGGTGCCTCGCAAATTAAAACTGCAATGCTATTATTTTGTTTAAAAAAAAGTAACGAACCCGTTTAAACAAATTTTTTCGAGCTGCATCTTCTATCTCTTCTGTCTATCTGAGAGGCACGAATAATCGATTCTTCGATACTCACGCTTTTTAAAACTATTTAAGTGAAAAAGAAAGGGTTAACGATTTGTTGGATTCTTTGGAACAACTTTGGTGAACTATTAAAGAGGTATTTTATATAACTTTCTTGAACTGTTAAGGCCAAAACATTTGTGCAGGTGTCCTGCAGGCTTTTACATCAAATACTTTTTTACAATAAAACTGTGTGCAAGTTGATACTACCCTGGCCCGTTGGTCTAGTAGCATGTTTCTTGCTTACGGTGCGAGAGGTCCCGGGTTCGACTCCCGGATAGGTGAGTTGTGATAATTTCAACAATAAATCCAAATATAACAGCTTCTTTGGAAGAGTAGAGGTTTTGTTTCGTAATCATTCAAATTAAACTAAGTGGCATTTTTGACGTTTGACTGGTTCTGTAAATGGCGTCGATCTTAGATGATATAAGAGACATGGGCTCTCCTAAATGTAAATATAAATATTTTTTAGAAAACATAAGTTTCATACCTAGGAAATAGAAGAGAAAACAAAACCGCCTCAGTAAAGAAGGGGCATTTTTGCAACCCTGTGGTTAGGAGTAAAACAAAAATTACCATACAAATTAGAATAATTTAAAGAAATTCTTGCTGATTATTCTGATTTCCGAAACTTGTAAGAAAAAAAAAAATTAAATAATGGGCCTCTCCGGGAGTCGAACCCGGGACCTCTCGCACCCTAAGCGAGAATCATGCCACTAGACCAACAGGCCGTTATTGGAAGGTAAGGGCAATTTTAAGTATATAAAGAAATGCTTTAAATGATTTATTAATCAATTAAAATTACTATAAAGCGCTTACTGGAATCCTTTTAAATGCACCCATGATCAACGGGTACCCGCAAGTATAAGATAATAGGTCCGCAATGCAAGCAGAAGCGGGAAAAAAGCAAACTAGCAACACTACCCATTTTAAAGATACAAGTGTGACAATTTTTTTTTTCATAATGCGTTTTTTCCTTTTTGTCGTGCGCTAATTAAGCTTATAGTTGATCTTTTCATCCTTTTGTTTAGTTTGTTTTTACAAATTTTATACTAGGTGTTTAGTTCTTTGTGTCTGTTTTTTCATCTTCATTAGCGCCTTTTTTGGTTTCTTTTGTGCATATTCTACGGTATTTAATTGCAGTTCTGCAGAACAATTTTCAGTTAGCTTTGATCCGCGCTAAGCGCTTTTCTCGTCAGTGCCCTCTACGGGTTTTCTATTTTTACGCAGTCCACTACTACAGCAGTTATTCTCTGACCGTAACAATAGTAAGTGTGTTTAACCGTGCTCGCTTTGTTGCAGTATTGTTGTTTCTTTATGTCAAGTGTTCGTTTATAGAAACTTGTTCCTTTTTGCCTTTTTATCGTCTAAGACCCTGTTTACATGGAGTGGGGGATCCCGGTCTAGTGGGGTAAGTTTCCTTTGTTTTGTGTCCCCCAGAGCGTGAAAACAAAAGAAACCAAACCCACTAGACCGGGGTCCCCCACTCCATGTAAACAGGCCCTTAGTTTCAGCCTACTTTTTTGTACCACTACATTACGCAGGTCAGTTATATCGAATATATCATCATTTATTTAGTTGAATTGGTTTTTTTGTGGTATTATTTCGGCCACAAGAGTTCCTCGCCTACTGTAAGAAAAGAAGGTGGCAAAGACGAACAAAAACGAAAATGAAAACGAAATCACCACACACACAATAAAAAAAATTTCTGATGGAGATGGATACACTGACCTTTCTTAAGCAGGGTGCCCTAGGACAACAAACTTTAGACTACAAGTATCTCCAAACTAGTTTTTTTTGTCGGTTGTAGCTGCCGGTTTCATCTTAATCGAAGTCCTACATTAATGAAGTTCTTAATTTCATTGTGTTTCGGTCTTTTAGTGCTTATTTTGGGGAGGTTAGTGGACAGGAGTTGCGGTTCACCTCAAGTTGCGGAACCAGAGTTAAAAAACTAACTTCAGCCTGATGTTGCACTGTACGATTTGCAGTTCGCGATTATCAGTTCAAAACATTGCATCACATGATTACAATTGTGACATTGTTTCCAAGTTTTGTGATAGTGTTCTAACATTTTCTTCTAGAAATTGTCATTGCAAATCATCTTGTGTTTTATCACCTTTACATGATAGTAACAATTTTTTACTCACCTCTCTGCAATTAATCTTCCTCCTGTTTTTCAAAGATTCTGAAACGATAGCGATAATTCATTGCTACCTCCAAATTATGGAACAATCAGTAAACTTCCCAAATCATGAGAAATGTATCTTGTGAAAATAGCTTTAAAAAGTCTCTTAAAACACATTTGTTTCAGAGGGTGTTTCCTAGCTAATTTTATTTAATTATTAACTAGAAGTTGAACTAGAAATGTATTTTAGTACGGTAATACGCTTGTCTTTATTTCTACAATTAATTTGTGGAACTAGAATTTAAACTTGGAATCAAATGTCAGTGTTTTGATTTTCAATCTTGACGAATGACCAGCAGAGTTTTAAGTGTTCTTTAATTCTTAAGCATTGTAATGATTCTTCTTTCCCTGCTTATCACGAACCAATTCGTGTAATAACCAGTTCCCAGTTTGCTTGCGAGCTAAATTGGTTAGAGCTCTGCAACGGTATATACTGCGGAGGTCAGGGCTCGAAGAGTGATCCTTTTTTGCCGAAATTTTTTCAGGCTTTCTTTTGTTAGTTATGTTTTCAACTGAGATGATCTTCTCTACATTTATTATCTTTTCATCCCGCAGTTAAAATACATGAAATTCATATATTCATTTTATCATTAAGATGATGCGTAAATTTTCAAATGTTCTTATTTTAATATCTGAACAAAAAAGGTTAATAATAAATATTATTACACTCTTATATAAGTCCTATTCATTTCATCTGCTAAACATTATCAATACCGGGTCCCTTTTTAGTACATAGGATGAAGGCGAAATAACTTATTCAGCTGTTTTTTGTCAAACAAGTCTGTCTCTTTTCTTTTGTTGTCTCCTAGTGAAAATACTTCCGTTTGCCTCTGCATTATGGTTTGAGTTTCTCCTTCATTGTATTTAAGGACACCTGAGCAAATCTTTCCATGACAATTATTTGCATGTAACAGTTTTAAGCTTCTTTGGTTTCCATTTCAAAGAGCTGACTACAACGGTTGTCCACGATTGGTTTAAAAATAATACATCTCTCTGCCTCTGCAAATCTTTGAAATGTCCTGGACAGCATTTCCAGTAACCGTTGCCTTTATTTTGTGCTTTTCAAAGTCTCAAGCAGCAAGTAAGTTATAATATATAAATAATCTAAAAAAGAATCATATTTTCCATATAATATGAAAAAGTCTGAAAAAGCTAGACTAAGGCGACAAAGGAACGTTGAAAATTTCCTTTTAAAGTGAGTGGAGTTTAATTAGATTTTCGTTGTGTATAAATGGTAAAAGAATATTGAACGGTTGTTTAACACAGTATTCAAAGGATGTATAGAAAAATGAGCATTCAAAAGGATACAAGCATAATCTCGAATAACATTCATCTTACTGCATGCGTTATATCACTGCTGGAATGGTACTACCAACTTAGTGTCTTTTATTTAAAGGTTGCATGGTTCAGCGTTTAATCTGAACTTCAGGCTAAATACAAATTTGATAAAGGGTATTAATCACCCAAAACAAAATAATTCTTGTAGGCTAAAACGCTACTTAGACTAATCAGAAAGGAAGAAATATTTATAATAAATATTAAATACTCCTAGGAATACCCTATCCGGCGGACTAATTTTAACTTTTGTGCGGGTCGGTCAAACATTTTTGTCCGTAGGATATGAAATTACAGTTTCGACAGTGGATGAATTTCTCGCTGGAACAGATGCAAGGGTCTTTATTGAAATTTATGGAGGAAACGCTGAAAAAACTGGATGGATTGAACTTACTGATGATGGAAAAAACGTATTTGAAGCTGGAGCGTAAGTAGACGTGACTGATTGCCTTCGTTTCACCATTCTTAATTTTCCAGGCAGGACATAACGATCATTAGGTCCAGCAACGAAACAGACCTTGGACCAACTAAGAAAGCTTTTTAAATTCGCTATGTATCGTAAGGAATGAGCTAAATTAAAAAAAGCTGCAGCATCCTGACGCGGCATAATGTTCGCGTATTATCCCGTCACAGGGAACGAAGTTAAGAGGACTTAAATGTTTTTGTTTCTAGTGAAAAGTAAAGCTGATTAACATAAAAACGACTATCCACTTTAATAGATATGGAGGAACGCGATTTTTACTAGCTACAATCCTGGACAAAACTACTTGATAAAATGTTTTCATTAATGCGCACTACCTAACGCAACAAAACTATTTCCAAATCAACGGCTTTGCGTAAAGAAAACGCCCTCCCCCAGTTCAAAGTTGCTTCCTACAAATGTTTAGGGATCCGTCCTTCTTTTGAAGACCCAACAACACTACTTCCAGGGGGAGCGGGGAGGGAAGAATCGGTCGGCTACGAAATTTAGAAAAACTGCCCCCCAAGAATGTAATTTTCTCAACAGTTTTGCCCAAGATTGTAGCTAGACACTGATCATAACTAAACACTTATATATTCTCTGAAGGAATGATACATTTTACCGTGATGCCAGATTCATAAAACCGATCAAGTTTATAAAAATGATGCGCAACAACGATTGGTACACTCCAGGATGGAAACTGCTCAAGGTGATTAGCGCACAGCGGCAGCAGCTAAATAACAGTTACACGAGAAGATTCACAACAACGATTTTTAACGCAACGCAGCGTTGCAACATTGTTGCAACATTTTTTCGAATAGCTGCAACATTGTTGCAACATTGTTTCGAGTAGCTGCAACATTGTTTCAACATTGCAACGCTGTGTTGCGCTAAAAATCGACGTTGCAAATCGTCCCGTGTAACATCACCTTTATGGATCTTAAGCGACGACGACCACGAAGGCAACGAAAACGGCAGAAAACAATATGGTTTAGATCGGCGAAACAACAAATTTGCTCGTCCTTCTCACTTTTTGTACATTAGAGAAACTGCCTAATTTCACGTTTTCTTGAGGATGAGACAAAAGATGGCGATTTCATGATTCTTTTTTATTTGTTTTAAACCAACTTAGGGTGCGTTCCTTTGAGATGATCGTTCACTGATCTTGATCCGGATCATCCCAAAGGAACGCATGCGCACCTTTTGAACTTGAGGTAGCGTGGCCGAGCAGTTAGGGCGTTGGACTTGAAACTAGGAGGCACTTGTGAAGGCAAAGCTACAACGACAAACCAGTGAGGGTCCGCGGGATCTTTCGTAGACCTGGATCATTAAAATCTTGAGTATCAAATTTTTTAAGTTTCTAACTAGAAGGTTCCATGTTTAAGTCCTGCTAGCTGGATTATTAATTTTGTTCTCGGTAGTGCCGAGTTCAAATTCTCGGCCACACTAGTAAAAAAGCCAACTGGTTCGCCTCTCCTACCAGTTGGGATTTTAACCCTGTTATGTTCTATTTAAATTATTATTTATTATAATTTAACTCCAGAAAACATGGAAAAATTTACCAACATTTGGTAGATACAACGACATGGATTAAAAGTGATGAATTTTGAAAACGCGTGAGTTCACTTTTAGAGAAATGTCGTACGTAAACGAAGAAAAAATTGCCGAAACACTGCCGAAAAAAACTTACCAAAACAGAAAAATATAACTCTATGGATGAAACGTGCTACTTGAAGAATTATATTCCAGTGCTAGACTAATCCTGAATGTGGCAGGAACAGGCCGATGAAGACTGAGGCTGACCTTAACATATCGATCGAGGGAAAGCAAGTTTTTAAAGTAAAATTTGGCTGCCGTATCATGATTTTGGTGAAGAATAATGCAGTCCATGTTTTCCGCCATGACCAACAACATCACCCTTGCCACCCCCCCCCCCCTCCAACCCAAATAAAAGCTACATATATATTCATTCTTCCGATCATAATCGGTCTCTTTCCAAAGCGTTACTGCCTCAAATTTTAAGAAGAAATATACATCTTCATTCTACAATTAATTTTGATACCACAGGTAACCATAAGAATCCAAGGTCACTCTGACTTGTATACGTTTTACTTCAACAAATGGTTAAGTGCTAACAAGGAGGTGACATTACACGGTGAGATTGTTAGCACTCCAATTTATGTTTTACTTCCACAGTTAAGGGTGATGCCAGGAAATTGTTCTGTACAGCGGTTTATTTTGTCTGCGACGCAGGCTAATTTCTAGGAACATTTCGAAATTAACCCGCAGTAGAGCGGTATTTATCACAGGATAGAATAGAACCAGGAACATTGATTTAAAGTAGTAAAGTATACTAATGAAATGGGTCCCACAAACTGCTACATCATTCCTTATAAAACTGTCACCACTTCACACTCTTATCTTAAATAACTAATTTAAAATTATCTTTTGAAATTTGATTTTTTCTTGACCGACAAGTGAGCTATAAATCCCAAATCTGCACCATGATCTTGAAGTAGGGGCGCTTATGTGTTTAATGATGTTCGTTTTAACTTTTTGGAAAAAAAAGAGAAGACCAAAAATAAAGACAAAAGCAAACAAACAAAACTCACAAAAAAAACAAACAAACAAACCAAAAGTTGGACTGCCTGTTTCTAAAAATCATCTGACAAAATTTCGGTTTACTTTCAACACTTTTAAAGTAGCCAGTTTTTTAAGAGCAAGCTTTACCGATAACGGTTTATACATGGTAGCCACATAGAATTACGACGTAATATTTAGGCCATATCACGTTACTGCTTCATTCACGCAAAAGCATCCTTGGTCTGAGTTTTTAGTTATAGGTCAAATATATACTGAAAATACGAAGTTGTATGTAAAAATAACAAAAATGTTTTTTTAATTAATCAGAGGAAAATAAATGCCGATCTGGTCATTCAGACTGTCACCATTTATGTATCTACACTAATCCGGGATATCGTTGTGATTGTCACCCAGGATTCGAGCTACATCAAATGAACCGTTGCAAAGGTATGCAAAGACTTGGGGAAGAGTTATATTTCACTCGTTTCTCTAGCCTAAAACTGTGCATATTGGGAAGTAAGACATAACCTCTTGGAAAATAAACTTTCAAGGGTGGACCTGCACTGAAAAAAGAGCGTAGGATAACGGTTTTTGAGTTAGTCGTTGATAAGGGTACGTTGCCCAGTGAACATGAACGAATCTTTTTAAGAACACTCGTATTGTTTCAGATCAAAGTGTTGAACTGAAACAATAACCTTTAGTTAAGAAAAACACCCGTAATGGCCATGGGTGCGAGGACGAGTCAGCAGAAATCAATTAAATGTTAGGATAGGTTTAATAGACGCCTGAAGTATGGTCCTTGAACGTCAACTTCGTCCTGGAGTCAATAATCCTCGCTCTTAAATACTTTTTTCCAGGCAGGAGGAACGATATATTATTGAAACTGACAGTTACGCACAGTCATCAGTTTAATTTAATACCGATTCGCTGAGTAGTTTGATCTTCCCACCGCATAAAAACAGAGTAGAAGTGGAAGTGAAGTAAGAGATACCACATTTCAAAAACACTCAAACTTACAATTTGATAGTGTTTGTTCACTATAATTTGTTGATATCCTTAGATGTGGACGAATGCAAAAATGGCGACAACAAGTGCGACTTAAAAGCAGCACATTGCGTAAATAAACCAGGATCCTACTCTTGTCAGTGTAAAGAAGGCTATCAACAAATGGACAACTACACCTGCACTGCCTTCACGTCATGTAATGTATTAACGCTCACTGGTCTGCAGACGCCGTCGTCCAAAACATTTCTTCTATGTAGTGGCAACGAAGAACATAATTTGTTTCATGCAAGCTAATATCTGACTATGAAAAGCTGCCATTTACCGAGGGTAAAATTACAGTAAATGTATGAAGGAAGTCTGGGGGAAATCGACTTTGGTTCGAGTTAGCGGGAAGTTCGAGTTAGCGAGGGTTCGACTGAGTTGTCGGGAGTCAAAGTGTACTTCGTTCTATTTCAGAAGCCTTACAATTACACATTTTGTTAGAATAAAACTATAGCGATTACTTGATCGGAGGAAAACGTTTCCTTCAAGCAATAAGCTCATTCTATTATGTCACTCTTGCAAAGAAGGCTGCTACAGTTTAGTAATTAATTATGTTTTCTAACCAACAGTTGCTCTTTTTAGCAAAGATGTGCAGCGGGAGTGATGCACTTGGAATGGAGAGCGGCAAAATTAAAAACCAATCTATCACAGCCAGTTCCTACTATCCCCAGTATCCTCCTTGGGCAGCGCGGCTTCGATCCGGGATTTCTAAAGGTTGGTACGCTTTTCCATATGACCCGTTGCCATGGATACAAGTGGACCTTGGAAAGCAAACTTGGCTGAAAGGTGTAGCGACACAAGGCAAGATGTTCTCAATGTATGTGACTTCATACAAGTTGGCGTATTCGCAGGACCAAGTCACATGGTTTTACTACCGAGGTGACAGTGACAACGTTAAGGTAGGGGTCAAAAGTGCGTCTTGTCCTAAATATGTTGTTATTTGACTCGGGAGAATGAACATGGACTAAAGACTTCATTAAAAAAAGCAAGATTAATGCGACAAAATAAATGCATCCGCAAATAGCTTAAGAAATAAATAAACCCCGTCTTCCAGATGGTATAACGCTATCCGCTATGAAGCCATAAAATTTGCTCACAAGTCTATTAATTAAAAACTATCAGGCTCTTGGAGGAAAGTACTTAGCCCACCCCTAAAGTTGTTTACATTTTTAAAGTCACGTGATATTATTGTACAATGAGCAAGAATTTGTACGCCACAAGGCGGGAAGGATTATTAAAACTGCTGAACGAGACTTTTGTGTCTTCCTCTCTGTTCTACGAAACAACTTGGCTGTTACATTCTCTTGGTCACCAGAAGCTCCTCCCAGCCAGCCCCAGTAGGTCACTATAGCAGCTCCTCAGAACATTGTAATTCCTGTATTGTAATTCAAACAACTTGTATTGTAATTACGTACCACATTGCAAATAACTTAATCAAGACTTGGCGGAAATTCATCCATACGTATTTTCTAACCCCTGAAGACCCTTTACTTTTTAGGTTCTTAATGGAAACAAAGATCCGTACCGAGTTGTTACAAACAGTTTGCCGAGACCAATTCACACTCGGTTCGTGCGACTGTACCCTCTTTCTTGGAATGACGCCCTTGTTATGAAGCTTGAGTTGTACGGCTGCATTTCTTCGTAAAGAACAATGAACAAAAATATAACAGTTGAGAACAATTAATATAATTGAATATATTATTGTTAAGTTGGCAAACTATCTTAATAATTTAGTTTGTGTATCTATATGCAGTGTCTTGGTTAGGATGCGAGAAAAGGGGAGTCTAATTAAAGTCGCCTTTAGAACATCTTAATAATCTCCCCAGAGTGCACCTGTTTTTATCAGTTTCTCATCCTCCTTAAAGGGGCTCGACCCAGCATTTTTGTAGGTACACCTTCAATCTTTGAATCTCTTATGCTTAAACAAATGATCTTTGCTATAAAAACATTATAATGCATGTATTACACACAGTCTTAACGTTATTATGATATTATTTCTTCGCGATGGGAATAAATATCACGTGACAATGACGTCACAATAGTTTTAGCTCTAAATCGAATTTCAACCCTTATAGGCATTTTATTTGGAAATGCTTTATGCTGCGTATACGCAGGCGTTGGGTGCTTGTCTTTTGTTGTGCGAAGTTTCACAAAGATCAATTAAACTTTCTTAGGTGAAAGTCGCAAAGCTGGGAAACAACTGTTTGGGACTCTAATAACAGCAATAAAACTGGGATGGGATTCGCACTCTCGCGGGATTTATTTTATTTTGTTTTTTTCGGAGTCCCGGTTAGGTTTCGCGTTTCGGTCGATGTTAGATAGGATTTTGTGGATAAGCCGCGTCGTTCAATGCAATACAGCTGAGTCTATTACAGATTTAACATTTGTTTTAGTAATATAAGCTGGAAACGACAATATTGACCGTTTTATAACTCAACTAACTCAAATACAACATCCTCGCTGCGATCGATCAGGGGCACCCAAAGAGAATATATATTTTAAAACCACTTAAACATAGCATTTTCAAATGTATTTTAGTATTTAAACGGTAGATATAGGCATATTTTTATCCCCTAAAATTTTTTTATCTGTTCGGATTTCCTAGCTGAGAGTCTGCTGATCCGAAAACTATAGGCGTTTTGATACAAGAGAGGATAAACGGGACAGAGAAGGCATCCCCCATACACACCCTATTCCATAGGTGATTCGTCTCGAGTCAGCATTGCTGAATATTGTGGCGAAATGAGTAGGCGCTCACCTGGGAAAAGGGAATCGCTAGACTCTTTGACAACCCGTGAAATCAGTTTAACTCGAAGTTGTCGTAACCTTAGTGCTTTAAATTAATAAAATGAGAAATTTCGCCGGTCTATTGAAACCGCTCGTTTGTACAATAAAGCAAGTAGGACGCCAAGTGTTATTTTGTTGAATAATAAAAGACTAATAAAAGAATAAATATCAAACCAAAAATTGCTCTCTTCAAACTGTAAATTATAAATGATCGATCCTGAGAGAATATTCAGTGTGTTAAGGATTTCCCTGCTGTTCTGTTAGCTCTATACGAGAGAGGAAGGGCGATTCTTTTTTACTTTCCGTTTCGCTGACACAGCTTAAGCAGAAATCTCTCTGTACTCGTTTTCGTCGACAAAACAAATCGCAATATTGCTCTCCGCGTCTTCCGCCATTTTGTTCTGCGTCAATTCGTGAAGGACGCGTGGCTCTGAACGTGGGTCATCCACGCGGAACACATTCGCGCTATGTGATTGGCTGTTTTCTAATCCCACTTGGGATCTGTGGTATTAAAAATAACTCCAGACGAATTACCTATGGAATAGGGTGTGTATAGGGTATGCCTTCTCTGTTCCCTTTATCCTCTCTTGTTTTGATCCCTATAACTTGACCTACCTTTTCGAAACAGTTTCAGCCAGAAAAAAGGCTCCTAAAAATTCTAGGTGACCTTTAAGGGTAAAAATCCGTTAGAAATGGGCAATTATTATTTTTTTAGATGTCCGAAAATCCTAGGAGAGGCAGGCAAGCAAGAAATTTTACAACAAACGTTCCGAAAATTCTAGGTGGCAAATGGTCTTCAGAACAGATATTTTCCGAAAATTGACGTTGGGTACCCCTGATCGATCAAGTGAGCGGAAGTTTTCTTAATCAGTCATTTTGTAACACGCCACTGACAAATCGATGACTCATCTGGTTTCGGTCGATGTTATCTAGTGCTTTCCCTTTGAGAGGCACAAATATGTCCGCCGGAAACTAACAGAAACATCTGTTTTTGAGTTTTCCTACTAATGCGTGGATTCATCGCTTGAGGAACTCATAAAGATTAAAGTAATATTTATTCTGGGACAGGGAATGTTTAGATAGCAAAATCTCAAAAAATCAGTGACGTTCTTACCCCACATGAGAGCTTTCCCGGCCGCCAACTCAACGTAAAGTCACGCCAAAGCCTTGAAATTCAAGCGTCCTCTATCGCAAAACAAAGAACCCTTTCGCACCAAACCTTTGTTTAAATAAAGGTGTTCAGGTGCTTTAATACCTTTTGAAACTCAGAAACTCTGAAGAATTGATAGTTTCTTCGTTTGAATATTGATGACGTCATGTGAAAACCGACAATAAGGGCAGAAATTCGATTTAGAGCTAAAACTATTGTGACGTTATTATCACGTGATATTTATCCCGATCGCGCAAAAAATATCTAAGTCTATGTGTAATACATGTGTTACAATGTTTTTACAATAAAGATCAATTTGTTTAAGTATAAGAGATCCAAAGCTGGAACGATGTGCCTACAAAAATATTGGTTCGAGCCACCTTAAGGAAACCCGTAACTTGACGCTTTGTGCTTGCGAAATTCATTTCGAACTAGCCATTTCCTACGAGGACGATTGCAAAGTGCATGCATGTTTTTGAGAGACAGAAGTGAACCTTTTTGAACTCTGACCTCATGCAAAATTGTCTCAGAAGACCTTACAAAATACAAGGGTCCGATTTTATAAAAGGTAGTATTTATGTTAGAGGGAATAATTCAACCGTTTCTCTTCTAGAAATGCCCTGTAGGCCCAAATTTGACAAAAATTCTGAACTTTATTTTGACGAATGCATAAAAGCAAACAAAGTGTTGCTAAACAGGTTTCAAAAATGGTCCGGCGCAAAGCAGAATTTCGTCCACTGAATTCCGCTTACAAGTTGGAACCACATTATGAGAACTGATCAGTATTGGACGCCATCATCCCCTTTGGAAGTGACGGAAGAGGTTACGGAACTTGACACCTGTACAAAATACCAGTATAAAATAGGAATGCTTGATTGAACTACACCTCAGTACTAGCCAAGGGGTTAGAAATTCTAGAGATCAAAACGATTTCCTAGGATTTTCCAAAAAGTCTATACAGAAACCTAATTGAAACTCCCGTGCACAGGTTCCCAGGAATCTTCTGGAAACAGTTTGAACCGGAACTTTAAACGCCAGGTTTAATGTGATTTCCATTTTCCCTTTCCATGAGGCACAAGGCTCTTTTGATGTGAATAAACACCTACATAAATATCGGAAATACACAGCTGCAGTGGTGTAGTTCTAAATAGAATTAATTGATATCTTTGAAGTCTTTGCGGCTGACACACTCTCTTGGCTTAGGTTACCCGTTTTGAAGATTGAAATATAGAGGAAACTGTTATAATATCTCGGCTTACTTCTATCTCCAGGTAGCGTTTCGATTTATAAAGATATGCAAATTTACAGCCCTCAGGTGATAAAAAAAAATGAATATAATAATATGATAATAATGATAATGGACGTTGAAATTTAGAGACCACTTCAAGTGAGAATATTTTTTGACCTGAGGCTGAATTGTCTCGTTTTTGTTTTGTGTTATATAATTTTTATTCGCACATTTCTAATAGTTCCTTTTAAATAGGCCAAAGAAATACAAAAACAAGTAAAAATTAACGCGGATAAAATCGAAGGTCGTTTCGGTGTCAAAAAATAAACATGTATGGTCTTTAATCCCTTTAACGTTTATTTAAAGACCAGATATATTTGTTAATCAACTTGTTTTCAAAGTGGAATCTTTTGTGCCGACATCCATGCAAGGATTGGTTTTGCTAGAGTTTTCAGAGTGGGCCACCGTCAGCTTCCCCTTGTCTCTTCCTACAGCGGCAAGATTTATGTTTGAACTCGTTCCGTTTAATTCTGCCACGGCATTTCTTTTTCTTAGTCGCTGGAAGCATGAGCGAAAGGAACGGTTAAACCGAGGAAGTCTCCATGCGTACATGAAGGGGTCGACCATGGAGCTTACAGATAGAAATTCGTTGGCGACGTAACGATACAAGCCAAACGCGTGAGAGGTACGGCATGGACAAAAATATAAAATATGTACGAAGATAAAATAAGGTAAAAAAGAACAATAAAAGACCCCAAGGATCAAAACGAATGCAATAACCATTCTGTTGTCCCTCTCCAACTGCTTTTTTCTGTTAATCGCTGTCAGGCTTGCTCTAACTTCTTGAAGTTCATTTCTTTGCAAGATAATTTTCTTGTAAATTTTCAAGTATGCTGTTGTTAAAATAAATGAAGGGACGAGGAAATGAGAGTAACAGTAAGCAAGCAAGAAATTCTCCTGTTTCACATCGGATACTGGCAGAACGGACATGACCAGCGCGTTTATCCAAATAACGGCTATGGAAATCTTTGCTTTGGAGATAGTCACTTTCTGCGGATATTGAAATGGCTTGATGATGGCAATAAATCGATCGTACGACATCGCCATCAACGTAGATACTGCCGCGAGAATTGACACCGCTCCCATAAAATACCCAGTTATATTAACAATAGTTAAGTCTGGTAAACCACAGTACTGGTATATCAGCTCCACGGCTCTAAGGTAGCTAACAATTCCCATGAAAAAATCCGCCACTGAAAGATTTGCGATCAGAAATACAGATGGTGTCCGTAGACAGCGGCACGGATCGCGGTAAATTGTGAAGAAGAGAGTGGCGTTACCTAGAGTAATAATGAGTCCGAACGTGATGTCAGCAATTATCAGTAGCAAAAGTAACTCTGGACTCAATAACACTGGGTTAGTTGAAGGCTTCTCGCTTATGTTCGTTGCAGGCGTCGAGTTCATCATAACCATGACGAGATCTTTAAAACAGGGTGTTGTTAGTCACGATCTAATATTCACAAGAATATGCTCCGTGATCGATATGAAGGCCTCATATTAGAATATTCTGGCGTTTTTCTGACATTCTCAATGACTTGTTTGCGATAATCTGATTTAGTGACGCACTGGGAATTTAAACGTGACAATATACTTTCCAAAAGGAACGTTCCTCGAATACCTCATTCCAAGTAGTAAATATAAATGTATTAAACGTTTACAATTATCGAGAGGAGGTATAAGGCCAGGGTTTAGATACTAAATTCAGTTTCATTCATTTCTAATTAGCATCAGAATTGACAAGGATCGGAGTTTATTTATAACAAAAACCTTGTGACAATATTATTGATCAAAATCATGGGGTTCCTGATAGGCTCTTAATTTCTCACGAAAGCAATTTGCTCTGAGACACAAATTGACGCACTGCTTTAGGAAAATTTATGAGCACGTACCTCAGATGAGCTAAGAACGAAATCAATTGTTTTACGATTCTGAGAAACTACCACCTGACGATAGCAACACCAAGGAGGCAATTATAACAAGGTCTACAAGCCTAGAATTGCAAAATAAAAAACAGCTTAGTTTCGAAGGAAAAATACCAAGTTCAGTCGTTTTGGGCAGTGATCTATTGGTTTTTAATTGTTAATTCAGATGTCACTGGCAAAGATAGGTTACCATATATAATATATAGATTTAGCCAGGGCTAAAAGCGAAGCTCCCATTAATAGATTTATAATTTAAAGCAAACAATAAACTTGTAATCCACAAACCAGTTAACTTTAAGGGAAAGCTAAGGCTAAGTGATTTTAGAGTGAAAAAAAAATCTTACATCGAATTGATAGCCGTATATATACACCCAAAAAATAGCAATTATCTTCGATCACATTTTAGAGCCATAATGGCTCTTGATCACTGTAGATTAGGCCTGGAAAACGAATTTTTGGAAAACAAATCAGGCCGAATTTTTTGCGTTCGACAAGTTTACTTAACAAAATCTTGCCAACAACTCTGGGAGCGTGTAAACCAACATTTCATACTTTTTATACATCACATCTGAAACAGTAATATGAGGCGTTGTTTTTATCATATAGACCTCACACAAAATGCAGTATTTCACAATTTTTCAAGACAAATTGCACTCATTCAATCTTCAGAACCGTACGAAGCACGCGTGGGCTTTTAGCAAAACCGTTCCAAAAATTTCCAAAATCACCTATACGGCCAGCCGGTTCTCACTTTTGACAAGCGCCAAATTTTCAGTGAACATTAAAAGAGTTACGCGCTTCAACATAATAAAGAATTTATTGTGTTTATTTTTTTTATTAAATGGTTTTATAACGATGTGTAATCTTAAAAAGCGTTTGATATGAGCAGCATTTTGAGTACTCCTGCAAGCGTTGTTTATGAACGACTGAAAACAAACGGCAAAGCGATTAAAATTGTACGAGACTACTAACAATCAATAAAAGAAATGTAATTCGGTGAAACATTTACAGAGTCAACAATTTTCATTCACGGAGACAAGTATTAAAGCGTCTCTAAAAATCCTTAAAGCTTTTAGCCGGCTTCCTGGTGTTTACTGTTTTCAAAGATGAACTCGAGGCAAGAAAGTCGCTCAAAGCTTTCTTTCTACAGCCAAAATTATAACTAAATACTCTTCGGAACGTTTTTTCGTTCTATATGCGGAGAGAAAATATCGACTAAAGGCTTTTTAAAGTTCTGTAAGCTTATATATAGTAGATCAGATCATTGTCTCAGATCTTTATACAACCGTGCATAAATTAGCCTCATTAGCTGCGCTCGACTTCATGAAATTAGATATAAAAAAACAAACATACACTGTATACAATAATTACTTAGGCTTACCATTCGAGATGCAGCTCTTGAAAGCTATAAAGTAAGGCCAGAATCGCTTGAGGGACTTTTCAACCCGCATCCAGCAAGGTAAAAACGAAAGCGATGCATCCGAAATCGGATTTCCAACTTTGGCAACCGGCGCATTTCCCGACCAAAAATTCAATAAACAAACCAGCCATGAATCAAAGAAGACTGTTGATACCAGCTGTATTTCATTTTAAGCATCCAGTGGAAAAAGACAGTAAAAAACATTACAAGTTGACAAAATACTCTGTCAGCTTCAGCTGTCAAACTGAAAGTAAACAAGGTTGAAGATGCTGTATAAATCAGTTTCTGCATGAACTCACCTGTCAAATTTTGACCAATCAGAGCATAAAAATTGGACGGTCGTAGAGCGTGATCAACGCGTGACTATGGTGAGAAAAGTGAAAAGCCTCTGTCTTCCCTGCTTGTATTTTTAAATTACTGGCTGAATTTTCGAGTCCGAGATCAGTTTGAAATCAAAATGTTAATAGCGCGGGGCCATAGTGACATTAACGCAACACTTTCTGTCATCATGTCATTATTTTGCTGCCGTTCTCTTTGCCTTTGTATTTCTCTTTCGCGTTGCCTTTGTCTGTTCATTCTAGCTCTGTCTCGTTCTGCTTGCCGGCGTTTTTCACTATAATTTTCTCTCCTTCTTCTCGCTCTGACTCTTTCTACTTGCTTTCTTTTTTTCAAAACCAGTTGCGCGATATAATTGCGCGACGTTAACGCGTTGCGCCATGCGATTTCCCGCCAAAAAATCTCTACTTTCCCCTACCCCAAGAGTCCATGCGGACTACTTTCCACTACCCGGAAAGTCCGTACGGACGGACGTACGCTACGTCATAACCAAATTTTCTGAGATGGATAGTTTACCAAATTTTCTTACCCATGGTGCTCCGCTACGCGCGCGCGAAGCGCGCGCGGGAGCTCCGCTAAAAAGTGTCTTGTAGAATATTTACTCTGGCTGACGTTAACACCTGGGTATTCACTGTTTTGTGTTTTCCTGATTAGAATTACAGTAAGAGCATGGACATTTAAACTTAAAGTAACTGTCAGGTCATGTCTTGTAGTATTTTAAAACTGATATGCATGTGTTTCTAGGCAAAATATCACTCAAACCGGGGGTATAAATGAACACATCAAGGAACCCCTGGTAGACATCTTAGAAACCCTAAGGGGCAGCAGTTATTTAGGACTCTTTCCTATGTCAGAACTAACCGGCTGGAACGGTCATTTTGAGCTGTTTAATAGCTAGCCTTTATTATTCATTCAATTTTTATCTGCTCCAGTCCCCTGGGTCACCCTGGCATAGATAGAATGGAGACAGGGCCAACAAGAAGAAAACATAAAATGTTTGTTTGCTTGCGAACTGAGTAACCACTCTATTTCCTCATTCTTATCTTCCCAATGAGTAACGTTATATTAAATAACAGGCATAGAATAGCATAAATAAAAAGTATAAGTACACTAAACGCTGGAGAGAGAAGTGATTGAAATCGTTCTGGGAGGGTTCTTTTCGTAAGCAGCATCTGCAGCCGCAAGACATTTGCGTCAGAAAAAGCCTTTCTTAGTAAAAACGAAGATTAACGTAAATTTGTCTTTCTCAGTAATTCCTAGTAAAAATCACTGCTCAGATTCTACAACAAACTGAACGTAGATCTAAAACGCACCACTGAACCATTTCAGTACCGTATTTATTCGATTGGGCGCTTTTTCGAGGCTGGGTGCTTATTAAATTTTCACCATTTTCAGCAAGTGTAGTATGTTTATTTTGCAAAAAAAAACGAAAAATAAATGGTAATAACGAAACACGAAGATGTAATAAAGCAAGGTTGCTGTAGAATACTTTGAAGAAAACTCCGTCTTCTTCTTTCTTCTGCCTTTAGGAAGGGCGCTTATTCGAGGTGGGTACTAATTCGAGGTTGGGCGCTTATTCGAATAAATACGGTATTCCTATATGTGGAAGGCCACATATAGTTCCTGTTCCATTTATGCATCAACATTTTCCTAGGAGCAATGTTCTGTGAATATGCCTGATTTAAATAGGAACATTTAATTGACAATGGTTTGTGTATTGTTTTGAATGCGATAAGTGCATCATGCCCTCATTGTCCGAAATTTTGCATCTTATGAATACCTTATAACAGCGTACTGGTTATTTAACATTAATTGAACTAAAAAATCCAAAAATGAAAGAAAGAAATCGTTTTAAAAATCATATTGAATTTTAAAAAAGAAAACTTCGTCTTTGTTAGAAATTCTTCCGTATCCTAGTGTTCGGAAGATGGCTACCGAAGTAGATTATTACTGAGGTATAGAATAATAACAAGACAATTAAAAATCATCAAACAGACATAATACGTAATACTTAAATACTTTCTTACACCCACTTAATACGGCCTACACGCAGGTCAGCGGTATACAGATATTCGTTATTCCGTCTCGCAAAGGGCCCTTGTCCTTTGGCGGTCTCCCATTGGAAAAATTTTCCTGATTTTCCACCTGCGATTCACCTGAAGGTTGCTTACGTACTGTTAATGGTAAGTCAGAGACTTGAGATTTTCTCTTCTTTGCACGCTTTAAAAACACCACAAGGAGGCATATTAATAAGGTTACGACCGCACCACCAAAGAAACTTCCCACCGCCACGCCAGGTACTAAGCTGTTTGAACCATTTGAGCTCTTAGTATCTCCTGTGAGTGAAAAAGACCGAGATGGTAGCTTTATCTTGTAAGAGTTATACAAATGAGTTATCAGGTAGAGCTTAGGTTTGAGAAACAATGTATCGATTTAGACATTAATTTGTTATTAAAGAAAATTTGTACTCTAATGATAAAAAAAGATATGGGTTATTTGCTCTTAGGCTTAAATTTGAAACATAGTTTAACTTAAAAACTGTCACCTTCAAAACTTTACAAGACTTAAAGAACTTACCCTTGGCCGGTATTGTTGTCGTGGGTATTTGGGTTGTAGTTTTCGAGTTCTTTGGTACTACGGTATGTTTTGTTGCTGTAATTCTGTTCATACTTGGGCGACCCCCATGGCTTTTCATATCTGGTGTGACATATTCCCAAGACGACGATTTTGACGGTTTTACTGACGATGTTATAAGTTCGTATAACGATGACTCCAGTCCATCAGTGGCAGCTGACGCGTGTGATGATGTTGATCCCGGCACAGATTTTGACGGAGAAAATGGTGCTGATGTTAACACAAAAGTTGACACTTTTACAGGCTGTGGAGATGGCACTGAGAGAGAGAGTGACTCTGATACTGATGAAGGCGTCAATGATACAGATATTGCTGCGGATGAGTCCAATGATGATATTGTAACCGTTGTTGATGATGCTAACGACGCCGAGGCTGATATAGACACTTCTGACGTAGATGCTGGGACAGTTATTAAGGAAGATGTTGCTGGGAATAATTCCGGAGTGGATCCCGACGTGAATGATGACGGAATTGGTACCGATATAAATGACAATGAAATGGAGTGTGTCACTGAAGTTAATTCTAATGATGCCAGCGATAATGGTAACTTCGATTTTGATGCTATAAATGACGAGAATGACGATACAGGCTCGAATAATGATTGCAGCACAGAGGTGGATGACGTTGGATAAGCTGCTTTCGATGGAGGCATTGTCAATGATGTCGACACTGGATTGGATTTCAGTTGTTGTTTTGACACTGGCGACGAAGAGTACATTGCTATTGAAGCTGAAGGTGCAGCTAAGCTAGATGCTGATATCGTTATTGAAATAGATGTTGTAGGTGACAGAAACGATAATTTTGAAGCAGCTATTGATGTAGATCTTGATAGTGACACTGAAAACGAAGCTGCTAATGACACTGGTACTGCTGATGATATTGACTGAGTCGTTAATAATGTTACTGATGATGAGGCTGTTAGATGGAATGATGATTTTGTACCTGAGAAGGATGGTGTTGGTAAAACTGAAAGTGATCGTGCTGCTGAAGATGGTGCTAAAAGAAAAATTGAAGAGGATGTCGGTGGTGACACTGTTACAGGTAGTAGCGTGGACGTTGATGATGATAGAGGAAAAAACCTTGATGCTGTTGGCGATACTGAAACTGAAGCTGAATTCACGATAGGTAGTGTTACTGACTTTGACGCTACAAGCGACCCCGGCAAATATGTTTTCAGCAATGATGTTGCCGAAAGTGATACATGCACTGACCGTGAGAGTTGCTCTGACATAGATTTTGAGGGTGACATTGACGACAGTCCGGAATGTGCTCGTGACAATGGTGGCGATGGTAATGCAGGCAGTGGTCTCGATGTCGACTCCGACACTGATGTTGATTCTGACAATGACAATGTTTCTGAACGTGTTCGTGACAATGATGCTAATAGTGACACTGATAAGGATGCTGTTGACGCTGACACTGATGCTGATTTTACTACCAATTTTGTTGCAGAATTCGTTACTAACAGTGATACTGACGAGGATGTCTGTAGCGACACTGATGCCGACAGAGATGCTGATTGTGATTCTGACACAAGTGATGAAAGAGTTGGAGACACAGATAAATAAGGGGCTCCCGGTGAATCTGTCCCTGATGTATTAAATGATGTTGATCGTGCCTCTTCAGCAGATATTGGGGGTATTAATGTATTAGATGTTGGTGGTAAAGCTGACGCTAAGGATGTAGCAGGAATTGGAGCTGATGGTGTTAGTGACACTAATGCTGACCGGTTAGTCAACAATGATACCGGTGGTAAAACGGATATCAATTTTGACACTGACACGGTTGATATTTTTTCTAGTGATAGCGACGCTGACAGAGCTTCTGACATTGAAGATGGGGCAATTATTGAAAGCGACCCCTGCACGGAGGCTGACGTTGCTAAAGTTGCCGAAGTTAATGGAGATTTTAGCCTTGACGTCGACCCCGACACGGATGTTGGTTGTGATATTGACAATGATCCTGAACTTGTTCGTGACAATCGTACTGATAGTGACACCAATGTAGATTTTTCAACTAAATTGTACGAAGAAATCGTTTGTGTCGATGTTGGTAGCGTTACTGATACTGCCGATGGTGCTGCATTTGATGCTGATTGTGATAACGACGCAAGTGATGGAGTAGTTGGAAATACAGACAATGAAGCGACTGCTGACACCGGTGATATTGGTGGCACTGAAATTGATGAATTAGGTGAAAATGATGCTGATCGTCTATTTGGCAAAGGTGTCGGTGGTATTGTAATGTATGCTGTCGGTGACGCTGTTGCCGATGGTGTTACAGGAACGGCAACTGATGGTGACAACGAAACCGATGCTGTTGTTGCTGGTGACATCGATTGTGAAGCTGACAGGGTTGCTGGTTTTGCAAGTGATAGAGATACCGATGGAAATTCTGACGTTGATGCTGGGACAGTTATCGAGGAAGATGTCGCTGAGAATAATTCCTGAGGAGATGCCGACATGAATGATGACAGAATTGGTACCGATATAAATGACAATGAAATGGAGGGTGTCATTGACGTTAATTCTAATGATGCCATCGATAATGGTAACTTCGATTTTGATGCTATAAATGACGAGGATGGTGATACAGGCTCGAATACTGATTGCAGCACAGAGGTGGATGATGTTGGATAAGCAGCTTCCGATGGAGGCACTGTCAATGATGTAGACACTGGCTTTGTTTTCAGTTGTTCTTGTGACACTGGCGACAAAGAGGACATTATCATTGAAGCTGAAGGTGCAGCTAACCTCGATGCTGATATCGGTAATGAAATAGCTGTTGTAGGTGACAGAAACGATAATTTTGAAGCAACTATTGACGTAGATTTTGATAGTGACACTGAAAACGAAGCTGCTAATGACACTGGTGCTGCTGATGATATTGACTGAGTCGTTAATAATGTTACTGATGATGAGGCTGTTAGATGGAATGATGATTTTGTACCTGAGAAGGATGGTGTTGGTAAAACTGAAAGTGATCGGGCTGCTGAAGATGGTGCTAAAAGAAAAATTGAAGGGGATGTCGGTGGTGACACTGTTACCGGTAGTAGCGTGGACATTGATGATGATAGAGGAAAAAACCTTGATGCTGTTGGCGATACTGAAACTGATGCTGAATTCACGATAGGTAGTGTTACTGACTTTGACGCTACAAGCGACCCCGGCAAATATGTTTTCAGCAATGATGTTGCCGAAAGTGATACATGCACTGACCCTGAGAGTTGCTCTGACATAGATTTTGAGGGTGACATTGACAACAGTCGGGAATGTGCTCGTGACAATGGTGGTGATGGTGACACTAACATGGATGCTGTTGATACCAATGATATTGATGATAGTTTTGACACCGACACAGATGGTGTCTTTGACAATAGCGCCGAAGGTAAAACTCTTATTGATTTTAATGAGGAGTCTGATGCAAATGATAACACTGACAGGGATTCTGGTTTTGATTCTGAAACAGAAGGTGGATTTGCTGGCTTCAGGGCTGACGATAAAACTATTAGGAATGTGAGCGACAGAGACACTGATACTGAATGTGAAACTGACGTGGATGTTATGTTTGACAATGAAATTGCAGGCATTGCTTGCTTCGAGACTGATGCAGACAGTGACAGGGGTGTTGTTTGTATTACTGATGATCGCGACGCCGACATAGATTTTGTCTGTGACAATAAACTTGACGGTGACACTGTCAGTGATTGTAATGCAGACAATGATACCAATGATAATACTGTCAGAGATGATGGGCTAGTCATTGGCACTGATGCGGAATATTCTGACAAGGATTTTGTTGTTGATAATGACACTGATGATGATCGTGACAGTAGTACCGATGGTGCTGCTGATTCTGGGGCAGAAAGAAATATTGACACTGATGCCAGTGGTGATACTGATAAATTCGTCGATGATAACTCTGCACTTGGAAGTACCACCGACAAAGAAAAACGCTGTTGCTGTTTTGACCTTGACACTGACAGCGACACTGGCACGGATGTCGTGTTAGATAATTTTGGCGATGGTAATGCAGACAGTGGTCTCGATGTCGACTCCGACAATGATGTTGATTCTGACAATGACAATGTTTCTGAATGTGTTCGTGACAATGATGCTAATAGTGACACTGATAAGGATGCTGTTGACGCTGACACTGATGCTGATTTTACTACCAATTTTGTTGCAGAATTCGTTACTAATAGTGATACTGACGAGGATGTCTGTAGCGACACTGACGCCGACAGAGATGCTGATTGTGATTCTGACACAAGTGATGAAAGAGTTGGAGACACAGATAAATAAGGGGCTCCCGGTGAATCTGTCCCTGATGTATTAAATGATGTTGATCGTGCCTCTTCAGCAGATATTGGGGGTATTAATGTATTAGATGTTGGTGGTAAAGCTGACGCTAAGGATGTAGCAGGAATTGGAGCTGATGGTGTTAGTGACACTAATGCTGACCGGTTAGTCAACAATGATACCGGTGGTAAAACGGATATCAATTTTGACACTGACACGGTTGATATTTTTTCTAGTGATAGCGACGCTGACAGAGCTTCTGACATTGAAGATGGGGCAATTATTGAAAGCGACCCTTGCACGGAGGCTGGCGTTGCTAAAGTTGCCAAAGTTAATGGAGATTTTAGCCTTGACGTCGACCCCGACACGGATGTTGGTTGTGATATTGACAATGATCCTGAACTTGTTCGTGACAATCGTACTGATAGTGACACCAATGTAGATTTTTCAACTAAATTGTACGAAGAAATCGTTTGTGTCGATGTTGGTAGCGTTACTGATACTGCCGATGGTGCTGCATTTGATGCTGATTGTGATAACGACGCAAGTGATGGAGTAGTTGGAAATACAGACAATGAAGCGACTGCTGACACCGGTGATATTGGTGGCACTGAAATTGATGAATTAGGTGAAAATGATGCTGATCGTCTATTTGGCAAAGGTGTCGGTGGTATTGTAATGTATGCTGTCGGTGACGCTGTTGCCGATGGTGTTACAGGAACGGCAACTGATGGTGACAATGAAACCGATGCTGTTGTTGCTGGTGACATCGATTGTGAAGCTGACAGGGTTGCTGGTTTTGCAAGTGATAGAGATACCGATGGAAATTCTGACGTTGATGCTGGGACAGTTATCGAGGAAGATGTCGCTGAGAATAATTCCTGAGGAGATGCCGACATGAATGATGACAGAATTGGTACCGATATAAATGACAATGAAATGGAGGGTGTCATTGACGTTAATTCTAATGATGCCATCGATAATGGTAACTTCGATTTTGATGCTATAAATGACGAGGATGGTGATACAGGCTCGAATACTGATTGCAGCACAGAGGTGGATGATGTTGGATAAGCAGCTTCCGATGGAGGCACTGTCAATGATGTAGACACTGGCTTTGTTTTCAGTTGTTCTTGTGACACTGGCGACAAAGAGGACATTATCATTGAAGCTGAAGGTGCAGCTAACCTCGATGCTGATATCGGTAATGAAATAGCTGTTGTAGGTGACAGAAACGATAATTTTAAAGCAACCATTGAGGTAGGTTTTGATAGTGACACTGAGCTCGAAGCTGTTAATGACACTGGTGCTGCTGATGATATTGACTGAGTCTTTAATAATTTTACTGATGATGAGGCTGTTAGATGGAATGATGATTGTGTAGCTGAGAAGGATGGTGTTGATGAAACTGAAACTGATTGTGCCGTTGAAGATTGTACTGAAAGAAACACTGAAGTGGATGCCGGTGGTGCCACTGTTATCAGTAGTAGCGCGGACAATGGTGATGACAGAGGAAAAAACCTTGATGCTGTTTTTGGTACTGAAACTGATGCTGAATTCACAATAGGTAGTGTTACTGACTTTGACACTAAAAGCGACCCCGGCAAAGATGTTGTCAGCAGTGATGTTGCCGAAAAAGATACATGCACTGACCCTGACAGTTGCTCTGACATGGATTTTGAGGGTGACATTGATGATAGTCCAGAATGTGCTCGTGACAATGGTGCTGACGGTGACGCTAACATGGATGCCGTTGGTACCAATGGTATCGATGATAGTTTTGACAGCGACCGAGGTGGTGTCTCTAACAATCCCTCCGAAGGTAAAACTGTTATTGTTTTTAATGTGGACTCGGATGTAGATGGTGACACTGACAGGGATTCTGGTTTTGATTCTGAAAAAGAAGGTACATTTGCTTGCTTCAGGGCTGACCATGAAACTGTTAGGAATGTGGGCGACGGAGACGCTGAAAATGAATCTGAAACTGACGTGGATGTTGTGTTTGACAATGACATTGAAGGCACTGCTTGTTTCGAGACTGATGCAGACAGTGACAAGGGTGTTGTTTGTAATTTTGATGATCGCGACGCTGACATAGATTTTGTCTGTGACAATAAACTTGACGGTGACACTGTCAGCGATTGTAATACAGGTACCGATGAAAATACTGGCAAAGATGATAGTCGAGACATTGTCACTGATGCCGAATATGCTGACAAGGATTTTCTTGGTGATATTGACACTGATGATGATCGTGACACTGTTATTGGTGTCGAATGTGACACTGAAATTGAAGGCACTACTGAAAAAGATTTCGATGGTGACTCTGACACCGACGCTGGTAGTGATACTGATGACACTTCCAGTGACGATGCTGAAAATGAAGCTGATGATGCCTTTTGTGAAACCAGCAGGGTTGAGGGTATGAATAGGGGTGTTGTGGGGGACATCAATGCTGATGCCAATGCAAATGCTAATGGTGACAATGAGAATAATGTTGGTACTAACAATGAGACTGTCTGAGACACCGACGCCAATGTTACTGATGATATTAACAACGTTTCTTCTCGTGATTTGGATTCAGATGCTGAAGATGCCACTGATGGTGATGTTGATTGTAAAGTGGACATTAATGATGATCTAGAAGGTAATGGCCAGACTGATTTTGATGTTTCTGCTGACAATGACACAGAAGGCGACAAGGGCACCAATGTCGTCGCTAGCGATTCTATTGAAGCTCTTGTCGAAGTTTCCAATAGTGTTTGCAATTGTGTTTGAGACGGGGTCGAATACGAAGATTGGAACTGTAAGCAAATCACCAAGATGTTCAAGACGTTCATTACAGGTACTGTAATTAAAGACAAAATGAAACAAATTTAAATACAGACAATAAATACCACATTGTTACTCTAGCCTGAAGTTCTAATATTCTGATGATAGAAAACTAAATGACGCGCAGAGAATTCTAGGACATATCTTTGAATATAGAAAAAAATCGTTTTTTTTTTCTATTTAAGTCAAAAGAATTTTGGCGGGTAGTCGAAAACGTAAGTAATTGGATGGACTTTTGGTCAAGACTCGTAAGCATTAGTAACTAAATCATTTAGCTTTATCCTGGACACCGGAACGCGACTATGCTCATGAAAGTGGTCAAAGAAATCGAACAAAACATAACTTGAGTGCCCTCCCTATATCTGTAGATTATTTTGGTTGATACTTCCCGTGAAGGTAGTTGGCATATTTTAATGTTCCCCTTGTAATGTTTTTTTTCCCTTTGCGTCTTGATACCAGTTACTGAAAACTCCGTTTGCAAGAAACAGTTCTTTGTGAATTCATTATGAGTGTGTGAAACATAACAGCACCATAAAAGCTCGATTGCTTGTTACTGGGTTTTCGTGTGACCATAGGTGAAATTAACTCAGACTGCAATATTATTTTAGCGTCATGCAAGCTGTATTGCAGTAGCACTAAATGAATTTGTTCAACTGCACAGGGAACCAGGGCTCAAGAAAAAAGATCTGAATGATTTACCTGTTCGTCGGTGTCTTTCTTTCCTCGTTTTGGAAGGAAAACGATTTAAATGTGTTGGATCGAAGACGGCTTCTCCGTTCGATAATTTTTAAAACACAATCGCTTAATGCACTGACGTCCTTAGTTGTCGTTAACGACGTTAAAGGCTACAGTTTCTGGGATTTATTCATTCCCCGGTGGTGAGTTACGTGTTAAGAGTTTTACATTTTGTTACAAAGAATTCTCTCCTAACCTTGGAGAGTTAACACAGTAGTTAATTCAGGCTAAAACTCGAGACGTTAATCAGTTGCAACTTATCAGTTTCCGACGCGTTTAAAGCGATTATATTTTTAATTAACTATCTACGTCCTGAGACAAATCCCGTCAAAAACGACGAAAGAAAGACACAAAGTAAACAAACAGGTGAATCATTTCAAAAGAACTGGCTGGAATGAATAAGTTATAAAGCGCCCATGGCGCTTGATTTCCCTGTTTACAAGAGAATGAAGTGAACGTGTTACCATGGATACAACCAAATAAACGTACGCTAACAACTTATGAATCTACTTCCGCATGGGTTTTTTTCTTGTAAAAATCCAGCAACGGACATATACGCTGCGCTTCTTTTCCTCCGTCTCTTTTAACACAACATGCATGTGTGTTACGACATCTAACAAATTACCAAAAATTTGACTACCGCTTCCTTTTAAAGGTTTTCCCAGGGCCTCAAATATTTACATTAACTGAAAAAACTGTTTCATTTTCTTGGAAATAACTGGCTAAGCAAAAGAAAGTAGAGAAATGTTCTTCGTTTTACGTTTACCAAAAAATGCGAACAATGAAAGGAAACTACATCGGAGACTGAGGCATATATATTAGTTTATATAGAAAATAAAACACTTCTACTTTCAGTTCCTGTTGCAAAGTAAGGTTTCTCATGGAAGTTAACAAGAATCAGCTATTTAGTGTGTTGTGAATTATTCAGTCGGTAGTTTACAAAACAGGCAACGTTAAAAATTGTGAGTAAACGAGACGACAACCTATCAGACAAATTGCACAACTAAGGAATACACAAGAAAAACGTAAAAGAAAAGAAAAACATCATAAGGGAATTTTGTTTGAGAGTATTTTTGAGCAGGTGGAAATAGTGTTGGTTAAAATGTTCTACAAAAATCTAGATCTAGTCTTAATTGCCTTCTTTCTTCAGAGCTGTTAGTTCATTTAACGTTAAATGTCTCAAATGCATGGGTAAGAAAATAATCACAAAAGAGTTGTTTATGCTGAGTTGTTTATGCTGAAAAGCATTAAGCGGCCTATACATAGGTCCTAATTTACGGTGCATTCCTAATCTAAGACTTATCCTCAATAAACTAGGTACAATTACCTGAGATTGCTGGTATGAAGTGGTACCTACTTTACTAGCTTACCAAAAAAAGAAAAAAAAACATGGCATGCGTTGGCTGTGCGTTTTATAGCATGAGGGATTTTCTTGCTCATTTATGTAATAAGAGAACTTATCCCCGAGCCGTATTAAGAGGAAGTGTCTTTTAGCATGTCACTGATAAACAGGCTACTGAGCTCACCATATATTCTTTCATGTGGGCAAGTCTTTCGTGATCCCAACATTATGGTAGTCTCCTGGGATAGTTCAGTTATTAACTCTTTGCAGTAGGTATGCAGAGTACCAAAGAGAACCGCAAATACTTCGCATAAGGTAGTGTCTTTAAGTGTATATATTCTTATGTAATGTTTTTCCAACATTTTACATGAAAGACCGCCTGTCAGACATCAAACATGTTTAAAAGCCAATATTCACTTTAAGCCAAGGGCAAAATATCCATGTTATTGACATAGCGGCTTTAAATTGCATTAAGTTCTGAATTCTTGTATTTATTTTGTGATAATAGGGCCTTTTACCTTTCTGGCTTTTTTCCAAGGACAAGGAGAGAAGAGAAGTCTTCAATCTCAAAATTTTACTATCTCTGCTTTTAAATGCCTGTGTTAGTTAACATTTCCGATTAGTAAGCGATCAGGGAAAAAATACAGTGGAAGGATTGCAGAAAGTAATATTAAATAATAATTATAACAAATTGAACTTGTCAATATCGGTAAATGTTCTTTGAACTCTTTACCATGAGCAGTATGGTGATGGATTTTTATGGAGAATTAACTACGGATACTCGCTTTTAACATACCGCATAAAGCTTATTCAAATATTTCACCAGTTTTAAAGCCTCGTCCCTCAGGCCATCATTTTAATAATTCTCATAACCTTCTACTTGATTAGGCACTGTTATTATTATCACTGTTGTTGAAAAAGAGTTCGATCTTAGGGAGCCAATTAGTAGGCCACTTTTGTATTAGGCATTGTTCCAAAAACAATTATAGAAGTTCGATTCACTAGCCTACCTGCAGCCTTAAGGCATTTCGTTGTTAACTTATTTGTTGCCAACCACGGGCGGATCTAGAGGGAGGGTGCAGGGGGTGCCCCCCCCCGAGATGACCTGCGGTTTTCTAATACAACTGGTATTCTGCAAAAAAAAAAAAAACTATGTGGTTTATTGGTGTTGAAGTAGAGCAAGAGACGAGTGCACCCCCTAATAAAAAAAATCCTGGATCCGCCCCTGCCAACTTATCCATTAGTGCAGCCGTGAATACTGAATGAGTTCATTCTGTGTGTACCAGTCAACGAAGATGAATTTGCCAGAGCGATTTTACTTAACACAGAAAATAGACAGTGTAGCGGTTACACCCTGGCTAATTTTATTGTTTTCTGATGTTTACTTAAAGGGGCTATGTCAGCTGGAGAGCATGCGCTCTGAGGTTATGCAAATTACTTTCAACTGTCAAAATCCTATTGTTTTTAACGCGTGACTTTCTCCATGTGCGCTCTGAGGCTATGCAAATTACTTTCAGCTGTCAAAATTCTATTGTTTTTACTGTAACGCGTGACTTTCTCCATGTTCTCTGTCACGTCCAAGGCTCCGAATTTAGAGAGGTTAAGAAGCGAAATGGGTTTAGATAAGGGTTATTTCGATAGAATTTACGGAACGTTTCTTCCCTGGTTATGCAAGATCAAGATTAAAAATACAATTTTACTTGTAGTTTTGAAGTAAAAACGCATGCCATTCATTAATGCATCAGTCAATTCCACCTGCGCCCAGGCCCCCCCCGGGCTGACCCCCGGGAATTAGCATTTTTTTTGCCTTGGATTGCAAATTCCCGGGGGTGGGAACTCTTGAGCTGGCAAATCCCCCGGGGTGGGGAAGAAAAGAGAGGGCAAATGCCCCGTCCTCCGTCAACAGTACAACATTTCTTATTGATCGCACAGTCCAATAGTGCCATTTTAAAGTGCGATTTTTTGTTTCAATTAACGTCTTCCTTTGTAATAGCGCTAGGATTCTAATTAAGACTTCACGCCGCGACGACATGCACCAGTTTATGTTTTTAGTATTGATATAAAATTATTGACATTAAAATTTATAGAGCGCTGTAAAGTTATATGTTATGAATAGTTTTATAAATATGAAAGGGTGTTCTTCAAATAATATCAACAGAAATTTGATTCAATAACCAAAAAACGTTGATACACATCGATAGCTTTAATTTCGCTATCTAATTCTGGCTTGATAAGCAATGAAGAAATAAATATATACATGCATGTAAAATCGAGAACACGCCCTTACAACCCTCTACAATTTATTCCTGTCCTTGACAGATGCGCAAACCTGCTTTTTTTCCAGTAAAACCTTCTGTGTAGTTATATTCTGATAGGAAACCGCGTGCGTGTCAAAAGCTCGGGAATGGCCCGGGGGTTGGCAAATGCCCGGCCCCCGGGCAGTGCAAAATTTGCAAATGCCCCACCCCCGGGACTGACAAGGCGGGCAAATGCCCCGCAGTAGCCCGGGGGGCAGGGGAGGGGGGGGGGGGCTGGGCGCCGGTGGAATTGACTGATGCATAAATAGAGCGCAAACAAAAATTCAACAACAACATATTGTCTTATTCAACAAAATAAATCGAAGTTGTATTTTACAAACGAACTACAAAAGACGCTAGACCGAAGATAAAGACCAAGACTGTTTCAAGTCATTAACAATTAGACTTGTCTGTCGCTAGTGATTATAATTATTATAATTTAGATAATTATTATAATTATTATAATTTAGATGCTGATAGAACAAGAGACATCAAGTCTTTGTTTTGATCTTAGGGAAACATACATTATCGCGCAAAATTGTTCGATCGTGCCGAATCACTGCGACGTCGAGAAAAACAGAACCAAGCATCATTGGTATACTACTCCACTATAAGCAGTCCGTTGATAAAAATTAAAGGGAAAGTAAACTCTGCTATTTTCCAAAAATATGCTCGAACACAAACAGTTCAAAAACATGGAATTTACAGGACCTAACTCGTACTAAGGTGTCTCTCTAAGTCCGTTGAGAACAATCTGGACGAGCAAACGGTCGTGTTTATCTTTGCCGTGAATCCAGATAAATACAAGAAGGAATCTAGCCGAATTTTATAATGTTTCCTTCGCCAGGAGTTTAGTTTCGTCACGAAACTCATGGCCCGATGCTCTTGTAATCGTTTACCAAAAAACGGCCGCCGCCAACTCGATAGCCGCTTCATTATATGTCCACGTACTTTGAGCACAAGAAAAATCCAAGAGCCAGCAGCCTCTAAAATAACTCAATAGAAAGGTTCTGTGAACTATAGGGAAGATTCCATCAAAGATTCCATCACTCATTGTGGAGTAACCGTCATTAACTCTGCCATTACAACGGCCGCTGATAAGAGGACACAGTAAATCCACGTAAAAACATTCCACAGGCAAACAATTTCAAAATAACGCCAAAAAATTATTCTGTAATCACCATAGAACGATTCTTAATACAAAACTTCGCTAACTATCGAACGATGGCTGAGATTTAGACAGATAAAAACAACCTTCCAAAATCTCCGACAGAACTTGCAAAAGTCGGGCCGACTTTTTCCAGTTTGTTTTCATTGGCTCGCGCATGCGTGTGGGGTGACATAGCCCCTTTAAAGTATTGGAATGATTGCACCGTTTTGGTGTACCAATCATATGGCCGCCGGAAATCAACAAAACATCTGGAGTTCACTTTTTCTATAAAAGCCCTTTCTTTTCACTCGAAAACTAGCATACTTGCACATAAACATATCTTCTAATACTTGAAATGGTTATACTGCTGAAAATCAAGAGGAGAGACTTTTTTTCAACGAGACAGCATTCCTATTTGGTGTCACGCACCGTGAAAACTCGGAAGTTCAAATTGCTTTATTTTCGAAATGAAACATGCTACACTCAACGGAAACTTGTACAAAGATTTACTTTTTGTTAATCTTCAACCTAGTGTAAATAACAATTCGTAAAACCTCGCTATTTTGACTTTACAAGTTGATGACGTCACTATGAAAACCATCTATATTTATTTGATGGTGTACCAGTCGAGAAAATTGATTGTGTTAAGGTAGTTTTATTCCAAAACATTTTTAATTAAACTCGCAGCATATCGGATTTCCTTTATTTTTTTTACTATAAATTATGCTCACTGAACTGTCTTACAAGATAAAATAGTGTAAATGCTGAACCCTTAAGAAATTCTTGAGAAATTAACCCGACATTTGTAGATCGACGCCGATCTACAAAATCCTCCAGGAATGCCCCTTTCTTGGGCAATACCAACAAGAAATCGTTTCATATGGACTTTGCATTTAGTTGTTTTCATGTAACCTTTGTGTTAAGTTCTAGCAGTTTCATGCAATAAATATATATACAAAAAAATGGCTTTGGGCATATTTCCAGATCCCCATGAAGGGAAAGTTCATTTATTATTTGGATAAGACTTGAATCCAGGATGAATCTTATTTTTGCCCACTATAAATGACAAGATGCGAAATCAATTTAGTTTCTAGCATAAAATGAACTAAGACTAAAAAAGAGAAAAGAATACTTCAAATTCATTCCTTGATTCAGGAGTTCATTTATTTATTGATTTATAAACTTCGCCAAGAGGCCTGGATCACACACAGAGTGAGCAACTAACAAGAATGACAATACTACGAGACGACAAAAAAAGAAATGCCAATGCAAAAACAGAATTGGGGAGGACATCGATAAAAATCAACAACACATACGATCGAGCATGCTGTTCAATGGCGGACTAGTGTGGCACTTAATACTCACACTCTTATAGGTCTGGGGGCTGTCGATATCATAAAAACACTTAGCTATAGTGAGATGTAAGTAGTAATTAAAAAGATCTTTCTTAAAGTGCTCTACCGAACAGCCAGTGTTTCGGAGGTGGGCTGGTAAAGTATTCCAGATTCTTGGGGCTCTACGGTAAAAACTGTTCTCAAATGTGACGGTGTTGGCCCTAATCGTATTCAACAGCGTTCCCTTGGAGGAGACAGTACGCCTGGGTCTAGTGGAATTCATGACTGAAATAAAAGGGTCCTACTGAAACTAACTAAACATTTGAATACGTACACCAAATCTAAGTAGTAGCCCAATTTTCAAAAGCCTCTGCTCATAACTAACTTCAGACCGATACAGCAAAGACGGAATGAATTTTGTTGCGCGCCGCTGAATTCTTTCGATGACAAGGATAAGATTAGCAGCTTGAGGAGCCCACATTTGCGAGCAATATTCGAGGTTGCTGCGAACTAGTGACAGGTAAAGTAACTTGCGAGCTCGCTGGTCATGAGTTTCGAAAGGTGATCTCCGGAGAAATCCAAGCAT